CAGCAGGCAGGGTGAGCAGCCAGAGGGTGCGGGACACACAACGACCCCATAGCTCTTCCAAAGTGCTTGGCGGTCAAAAGCGAAAATCAACGTCCTGTCTGATGGGCCTTCCAGTGTACGTAAGTGTAAATTACACAAATACGTCACATGTAAATTATAAACCATTTCTAGGTATATAATTGTATAAATCATATAAACAAGACAACTGTAACATAAAAGGAAGAGGGTAAACCTGGATGGGGTAAGATTTCTATGTCCCACTGGAAGTAGTGAAAAGCAGACTTTTCAGATCCGAAGCAGAATGTGCAACGTTAATAAGCATGGACTGCGAAATCCTTAGAGCGACTACTGACAGAGCAGGGCAGCCAGGCGCTGCAGTCCCAGCTACTGGAAGGCTGAGGAGAGAGGATCGCTTGAGCCCAGGATTTCAAAGGCTGCCTGGGCAACACAGTGAAATCCTGTCTCTTTACAAAGAAAAAAAAATTAAAATACTCTTTAAAAAAAGCTAATAGACAAAAACAAAACAGATAACATATAGATAATTTAGAATAAATTAAAACAGACAACAAAATGTTTTTAAAAACCTAAAAGGAAATAAAGCAATGATAAAGAGAGTGATCTAACAGAAGTCAGATAATAAAATGGTAGACCTGAATCAAAACACATTGATAATTATATTATCATAATAATCTAAAAACACCGATTAGAAGAGGTTGTCAGAATAGATAAATAAAATCCTAACCCAACTATATTGCATCTACAAGAAACTTACTTCAAATATACTGATACAGGTAGGTAAGTTGAAAGCAAAAGGGGAAAAAGGTGAACCAGGCAAGCGCTGGCCAAAAGGAAGCTGGGCGGCTATGTCAGCACCAGCGACAGCCAGCCTCAGAGCAAGGAACTCATCAGAGAGGGAGAAGGAAGGGGTCAGCTCCCCAAGGAGCCAGAACAATCCTAAATGTGAACGCACCGGCCAAAAGGCTTCCTTCCCATTACACCAGGCAAAAGCTGACAGAGCTGGAAGGAGAAATGCCGTAGCCAACCCTGAATCTGTTTCACTTTCTGTGATTTCAATTACCCGAGGTTAATGCACTCCACAAATATTCAATGGAAAACTCCATTCACAAACAATCTGTAAGTTTTAAACTGTGCGCTGTTCTGAGTAGGGTGATAAACTCTCAGGCCGTCCTGCTCCCCCAGCCTGGGCCATGAACCATCCCCTTGTCCAGCGTGTCCACGCTGCATGTGCGACCCGCGGGGGGGAACGCAGTAGCCAGCTGGGTCGCCAGCACGGGACTGGGGCGGTATCGCCAGGCTGCTGGTCAAGGTCAGCGGCAGCCTAAGGCTGCATCACAATGCCTGCTCCGCTCACCTCTCTGCCATCTCACGGCGGGCACCAAAGGGTGAGCACGGTACCACAACGTATTCTGAGAGAGAAAGACCACATTTACACGACTTTTATGACAGTATATTGTTAGACAACTGTTCTATCATTACTGTTGTAATCTCTTACCGTGCCTAATTTACAAATTAAAGTTTATCACTGGTATGCAAGTTCGGAAAAACAGAGACTATGCAGGGTCCAGTACTGTCTCCGGGCTCGGGCATCCACAGTGGGTGCTGGGCCAGTTCCACAGATAATGGAAACAACTGCAGGCCAATCCCCAATGGCGGCTGGAGACGCCACCCATTTTCTCAGGAACTGACTGGAAATCAGGGAGAACAGAGGCACGGGCCGCACTGCCAGCCACCAGGACCTCCCCGACACGGAAGGGAACGCCCCCGACTGCAGCAGTGATCTGCTGCATGTTCCTCACTAGAAATCTACATGTAGCAGAAACTCTCGTCCACTTCCCTCCACATTTACAGCTTCCCGTTCCACACCCCTCAGAGAGGAGAAGTGCAGGACAGCCCTGGCCGGGTGGGTGCAGGGTCCAGCCCCAGCACTGCCTGCAGAGCCAGTGTGGGGGCCTCCCCTCGGTGTCCACTCAGGCACCTCAGGGCTGACGTGGTTCCGAGGGGCCAGGCTGCCTGAGGACGTGCCTCGGTCCCACAGGGGCTGCTCGTGCTCTGCGGCTCCAGCCCAGAGTCCCACAGTCTGCCCTTTCCGCGGCCTGAACCCAGACAGTGCCAGGAGAAGCCTGGGGGCGCGTCCAGTCATGCCCGGGCCCCACGTGGGTCAACGAGAAGACGGGTTGGACCGAGCACCCTGGGAGGCCACAGAGCCCACATGGCAGCAGCCCCTGACCCCACGCAGCAGCCACAGGGCCTCGCCTTCCTCCCTCACCTCTGCCCAGGAGAGGCCAAGATGACTCGTGGTGGAGGAAGGTGGGCAGGAGAGCCCCAGACAGGCTCAGGGAGAACTGCTCGTGCGTCAGCAGGGACCACTGATGTCGAACTCACGGAAAAACTCCAGATGCACAGCTCGTTCCAAGTCGGTGCTTGCGGACTTCTTTCTTTGAATAAAAATAACGGTATTTATGTGGTCAATGGAATGTTACCCTTAAAAGAAAGGACCTTCTGACAAGTTACAACATGGTTGAAACTTAGACCTTATGCTAAGTGAAATAAGCCAGTCACAAAAAAACAAACGCCGCATGA